GCAGAAGAGGAAGAAGAGGAAGTAGAATCAGTAGAGAACAAAGATTCAGAGAGGATAGAGGAAAAGGAAGATGAAGCTAGAACGCCCCTTCAAATGATTGGAATCCAGCTGTTGAAAGATTCCGACCAACCCTCTGCCTCATCTGAAAAGTCAACAACTAATATGGTTGAGGTATGATAATCCCTTTGTGTCTTTTTTTCCTTTCCACATATTCTGGTTGGTCGGGGAGGGGTGACAAGCAGGATGATTTGTTTTTTGGACCTGGAGGGATTGTGCATGAGAGGCTGAGTCTGTTGTGGACCATGTGCTTGAATTTAATGTTATACTCTTTTATTCTTTGTTGCAGGGTTACATTTTGAATACTTTGATGTTGTTTGAGAATCTAAAGTTGTTTCCTTGCAGGATGAAGCTGATGAGGATTGGTTTCCTTTGGACATATTTGAGGCATTTAAGGAAATGAGGAATCGTAGAGTGTTTGACGTGTCAGACATGTATTCCTTAGCAGATGCTTGGGGATGGACATGGGAGAGAGAACTAAAGAACAAGCCTCCTCATAGATGGTCACAAGAATGGGAAGTCGAGTTGGCAATCCAAGTTATGCAGAAGGCAAGTAACTAAACCTGGACTTTTTTTTTTTATTGCAAGCTTCTGTATTTGAATTGGTTTAAAATGGTAAAATGCCATGGTTTCTAAATTCTAATAGGCATATCAGAATAGCTGCTTCTTCTTGTAAACAAAATGAAATATATTGTTCAAGGTTGTTAAAATCGCGATTTAAAACCTAAACTCTTAGATTTTACGTTTATAGGTCAGCATTTGGTGTTAAATCGCAGGTAAAATCGTATACTGGAACGATTTTACACGATTTAAATCTCTCTGAAATCTGTAAAATTGTGTAAGGATTTTACTCTTTGACTTGATTTTACCTTTTTTTCCTTGAAATTTTAAAAAGCCCAGCCCAATAAAACTTCTTCCACTTTATTATTTTATTTACTTTAAATAACCTCTTTTTTCATTAGACATTAGACTTTTCATTTACTAGAGCTATGAAAATTAAAAAATTTTGAACCCTAACGTCACTTCACTTGTACGACGCCGGACCGAAACTTCAATGACAATATTATGTGAGTTTAATTTTTTAATTGGTAAGTTTCTAAAAAGTGAGCATTCTTCACAAATAAAAAACTGAGAAATGTTATGTTACTATGTTATTATGTGTTATTATGTGATTGTATGTAATCTTGGTTTGTTAGTATATTTTTTTATTGGTAAGTATTTAAAAAGTGAGCGTTCTTCACAAATAACACACAGAGAAATGTTATGTTACTATGTTATTATGTGTGTATGTAACCTTGGTTTGTTACAATTTTCCTAGTTTTGCTATTCTGTGTCTTTGAATGCTACTATGGTTTGTAATCTAAGTGATTGTTACAATGTTTTTCTATTTTTATTATTTTAATATACCAACTTAATAGAAGTTGATTTGATTTATTGTATATATTTTTGAAAATTTTGCTTCTGTGTCTTATAGTTAAAATTTATTATTTAATTTTGATTATTTTTCTTATTTAAATTTAAATTTAATATTATTTTAACATGAGGTAAACTCTACGATTTTACGTTTCGATTTTACCTAGCCAAAACGAGTCAAGGTAAAAATTCGATTCTGACAACCTTGATAGTGTTTATAACTCCCCTTTAGAGTAGATCCAAAATGGTGTAGAATGGTATTGAAATTTGACAGTCAAGTTATCTTGTATTCATGATCAGCATGCATTTAAATCAAACATTTATTTTCATACAGATTGCAAATAGTATATACTCAGTTCAATTGATACCACAATAAAATTTACACTCAGTTTTTATTAGTATCTTGCAATAGTAGTGTCATTTGGCATCGGTTAGTTCTACTTATGAGCCTTGTAGGTAGCTTTAATGGATAATCAAATAAATTGGAAAGCTTTATTTTATTCTTATGCATTTTTGTTCAACTATCATCTTTCCTTTTCTCTTTCATCTTTTTCTGAATTATTTTATTCAATAAATTCTGAAAGATCATAAAACTAAAGGAATTTCTATATAAATAGATTGTGAGCGACCATTTATGTATTGGATAGTGGCTTATATACGATATAAGAGTATATCCATTGCATTTGGTACTTCTTAAGACTTAAAAGATGCAAAAAAATTGTTATTTTTACTTTTTTTAAACCTGGTTTTGTTTAACTCTAGCCTTTTGACTGAAAGAACACAGAATGATATGATTTAACTTCAAACTCATTCAAATTTGGCTAGGTAAGCCTGTGAATTGATGTGTAATAGAAGCAGATAATTGAAGATATGCTTGTAGTGATGACATTGATGTTGACATAATCAAGTAAGCAGTGCCAAATACACCTTTAAAAAGATTGAACAAAAAAGACATATTCGGAGCTTATAAAGAACTAAAAATTAGCAATGTCATAATGATTACTAAGTATGATGTCAATGCTGTGGTTGTCATTGATCAAAAAGGAAATCTACAAAGAACTTGAAGTGTCTATACCAGTTGTTTTTTGTATTATCAGCTAGACAGCTACCCTAAAAGGAATGATTTTACTCTGCTGCTTCACATATTAATTTATCAAATATTCTCAGTGGTGATAATGTGATATTTATTACTATGTTTTGCATTAAGTATAAAAGAAAAAGACTGCTTTGAAGTCTACGTATCTGCTTGTAGATTCCTGTTCAAGCATAGTGTTATATTTCATTCAATTTTGAAATTTGACTTATATATCAAATCATATCTGAGATATATTTCCATAATTTGGCTGTATTACTCAGGTCATACAATTGGGAGGGATGCCAACTATTGGAGATTGTGCCGTGATCTTGCGTGCAGCTATAAAAGCACCTCTACCTTCAGCTTTCTTGACAATTTTGCAGACAACTCATGGCCTTGGCTATAAGTTTGGGAGGTAACTCTATTTTCTTCATATAACAATACTCTTGTAATTGGAGTCTCTTAATACTAGAGAGACACTCGGTTACCTAACCCTAATCTTGATATTTTTGTTGCTTTCTAGCTAATGCTTTCCTTTCTTTCCCCATGTTCCAGACCGCTTTATGATGAGATCATATCTCTTTGCCTTGATCTTGGGGAACTAGATGCTGCCATTGCCGTTGCGGCAGACTTGGAGACAACGGGGATCTCGGTTTCAGACGAAACTCTGGACAGGGTAATTTATACTAAACAGGAGATTGATAATGCTTCAAATGATGGCATGGATGAAGCAGGATTGTAATATTATGCCTTCATGTTGTACTGTTTTACACAAGAAAAGTAGTAGTGGTTAGTTGTCATGTAATATTAATTATTTCTTTGTTGTACTCTTGTGCAAATTTTGAGTTGAGCTGTTAATATTTAGTATCAGGCCCTGTAAACCTACCATGTTTGTAGATTTGTCATTCTCCTCTCCTTATTTTTTGCTTTCATTTTAGATGAGGTTATTAGAGTTTGGTCTAACTCATTCTTATAAAATCGGCTTGATGGGTGAGGATTATCTCCCTTTATAAGGACATGTTCAGATCATATATTATTCGATGTGAGACTTTTAACACGTCCCTCACACCAGGACTGAACATCTTGAGTGAGGAAATAAATGGTGGATGGTCCGATAGCGTAAATCTGATAGCAGGTGATCCACCGAATCTTAAACGAGACTTTTGATACCATGTTAAAGTTTGACCTAATTCATCTTTGTAAAACCGACTTCTAGGGTGAGAATTGCCCCACTTATTTGGACATGTTTAGGCTATATATTATCCAATGTGGGCTGAGACGTCGTTACAAATAATCAAGTGACTAGACCTTGAATTAAAGACAAATTGTTCGGGAGAGTCCAAGTTCGAATCCTGATTGGAACGAGCATGATTGTATCCTAGTTTAACAAATTTAGCAAGTGTTTTATATTCTAGTGTTTTGTGAAGAATGTTAAACCTTGGAAAAAGTTTTAAGCACTAACACATTTTAATGAAGAATGTTAAACCTTGGAAAAAGTTTTAAGCACCAATACATTCTAACTTATTTAATATTGTTCTGGGAAGGCATTATCCCACTCACAAGATTCCTAAAATGATTCCGTAAGTTCTCTTTTGTCTGTTTGAAGATTCATTGCAATGCACATAGACTAAATCCAAGCCAGGTTACAATAAAACTACTTTTGCACCTAGTCATAGACTATTTAACACATTTCTTCTCTCCTTGTATCACTTTTAAACTTTTTTTTTTATCAAATTTTATATTATGCCATTCATTATATTTTTTACTATCCCTGTACTATTTCTCTTTTCAGTCTATCAATTTTTTTAATAATGTATGATAGCATTACTTTCATTTGAAGTGTTAAAAGTTTATAGAAGAATAATGACTTTTGACTACACTGATAAATTAAACTATGTGGAAGTAGTGTCAGATGAAACTCCACTTATCTTCAAGTCAATTGGTTTTCATCTTCATGGAGCTTCCAACTAGCAAATAATATCTTTTGCTCAACACATAATTTTATTTTTCAATCAATATTTCACCCTTTTTATATTATTGATTGGAGAAACTTCATTAAGATTCTAAAATTGCAGAGACTACATGACAAAGAATCTCTATAATATAATGGGGTGTGAAGAGAGTTTCAAATGATATTCATCCTCTATAAGATGAATTTTCATAGAAAGTGGAATCTTTGAATGCTTCATTTGTCCACCAATCATCAATATGCTAATATGCTATCTATTCATTTTGTTACCATTATCTTATTAACAAGTTTCCTATTAGTTCCACAGCTCTATGTACCTTCCCATTATCATGGGAAGTTTCATTCCTCTTCTCAATATTCCTTAAAAAATTTCTTGTTTTAATGAATCTTCTAGTGCTTCGGTTCTTTTTTCTTCCAATAAGAAAAATAAAAATAGTAAGTGTTTCACCTGTAATAGAACCCTGTGCAGAATTTGCATGTGCAAATATGGAAAAAAATGTATATGCATTGTTTCTGATGTTGATATTTACCCTTATTTTCTGTCTATCTGAAGGGCTTAATGCAGAGGGAAAGCACCTTATGGATATAAAGGGGAAATTGTCTGACAGATACAATCATCTTGAGAATTGGAATTCAAATGATTCAACACCTTGTGGTTGGAAAGGTGTCATTTGCAACAGTGACATCAATCCATTGGTTGAATCTCTTGACTTGCATGCAATGAATCTCTCAGGCTCTTTATCTTCCAGCATTGGTGGTTTGGTTCACTTGCTTCATCTTAATCTTTCTCAAAACACATTCTCTGGTTTTATACCAAAGGAAATTGGAAACTGTTCAAGTTTGCAGGTTCTTAGTCTCAACATTAATCAATTTGAAGGCCAAATTCCTGTCGAAATAGGCCGACTTTCGAATTTAACAGAATTGCATCTTTCCAACAACCAGCTCTCAGGACCTTTTCCAGACGAAATTGGTAACCTTTCTTCACTTTCGATACTTACTCTTTACACAAATCATCTCAGCGGGTCTTTGCCGGCTTCTATCGGGAACCTTAAAAGATTGATTCGGTTTCGCGCCGGACAAAATATGATCTCAGGAAGTTTACCTCGAGAGATAGGTGGATGTGAAAGCTTGGAATATCTTGGTTTAACTCAAAATCAGATAAGTGGTGAAATACCGAAAGAACTCGGACTACTCAAGAACTTGCAATATTTGGTCCTTAGGGAAAATAATCTTCATGGCTCTATACCTAAAGAGCTTGGAAACTGTACAAATTTGGAGGTTCTTGCTCTCTATCAGAACAATCTTGTGGAAGAAATTCCAAAGGAGCTCGGAAACCTTGAAGTCCTAAAGAAACTATACCTTTACAGGAATGAGTTGACAGGAAATATTCCAAGGGAGATTGGAAACCTTTCTGTTGCAATTGAGATTGATTTTTCGGAGAATCTTCTTACAGGAGAGATACCGATCGAGTTGGTTAATATCAAGGACTTGCAATTGCTTCATCTCTTCGAGAACAAACTAACTGGTGCAATTCCGAATGAGTTCACAACCTTGGAAAACCTAACTGAGCTTGATCTCTCTATCAATTACCTCAATGGTACTATTCCGATCGGATTTCAGGATTTGACCAAACTGAACTCATTGCAACTCTTCAACAACTCGTTAAGTGGTAGAATTCCTTATGCACTCGGAGCAAATAGTCCACTTTGGGTGCTTGATTTGTCGTTCAACAACTTAGTCGGAAGAATTCCAATTCATCTTTGCCAACATTCTAACTTGATGATGTTGAACTTAGGATCAAACAAACTCGCCGGAAATATACCTTATAGAATTACAAGCTGCAAGTCTTTGGTGTATCTTCGTCTCTTCGGCAACAACTTGAGAGGCAAGTTTCCTTTGAATTTATGCGAGCTTGTAAAGCTTTCTACAGTTGAGTTGGAACAGAATGAATTCACTGGCCCTATTCCTCCACAAATTGGTCACTTCCAAAATTTGCAAAGACTTCACCTTTCTAACAACCGTTTTTCAGCTGAGTTGCCGAAAGAAATCGGTAACCTCTCTCAGTTGGTATCCTTTAATGTCTCATCAAATTACCTTTTTGGTAGACTGCCTATGGAACTTTTCAACTGCCGGAAGCTCCAAAGACTTGACCTCAGCAACAACGACTTCACAGGTACTTTATCAGGTGAAATAGGAACTCTTTTACAGTTAGAGCTTCTAAGGCTCTCAAATAACAATTTTTCTGGTAAAATTCCATTGGAAGTCGGAAGACTCTTGCGGTTGACCGAACTACAAATGAGCAAAAACTCATTTTGTGGTTACATTCCACAAGAGTTAGGCGCACTCGCGTCCTTGCAAATTGCACTTAATCTCAGCTATAATAAACTTTCAGGCCAAATACCTTCCCAACTTGGGAATCTTATTATGCTAGAATCTCTCCAACTCAACAACAATCACTTGAGCGCCGAAATTCCAAACTCCTTTAATAGACTTTCAAGTTTACTTTCTTTCAACTTTTCATACAACGATCTTTTCGGACCTTTACCTTCTTTACCTCTCTTTCAAAACTCCACATTCAGCTGCTTTTCAGGTAACAAGGGACTATGTGGAGGACCCCTTGTCCCTTGTTCGAGCTCAACATCACATTCCCCTCCGAATAAACTAGGAAAAGTTCTAGCTATAGTTGCAGCTATTGTTAGTGTAGTTTCATTGATTTTAATTCTGGTTATCATATATCTAATGAAAAATCTCACTCTGCCACACCAAGATATAGACAAACCAAATTCTCCAAATGTTTCAAACATGTACTTTTTTCCAAACGAGGAGTTGAATTTCCGAGACATGGTTGTAGCTACTGAAGATTTTCATTCCAAATACGAAATCGGAAAAGGTGGCAGCGGAACTGTGTATAGAGCAGATATATCAAATGATCATAATCATATAAATACAATTGCTGTAAAGAGACTTACATCAAACAGTAACAGCATTGATTTAAACGGTTGCTTCCGCGCTGAAATCTTAACTTTGGGCAAAATAAGGCACAGAAATATCGTGAAATTATACGGTTTCTGCAACTACAGCGGCTCTAATATGCTACTTTATGAACACATGGAAAATGGTAGTTTAGGAGAGTTACTTCATGGAGAATCCTCCTCTAGTCTTGATTGGTATTCCAGGTTTAGGATTGCTCTAGGAACTGCACAGGGACTATCTTATTTGCACCATGATTGCAAGCCGAGGATTATCCACCGGGATATCAAGTCAAATAACATACTCGTCGACCATGAATTCGAAGCTCATGTTGGTGATTTTGGTTTGGCTAAGCTTATTGATATCTCAAAGTCTAAATCAATGTCTGCAGTTGTAGGCTCTTATGGCTACATTGCCCCTGGTAAGCACACTCTTCTTTTTTCACTCATCAATCATTATTGCATTTCTTTTTTTCAACAACAATCATCGTTTCACGCGTGTATCGCAATGTTTCATTGTGTTGACGCAGAGTATGCATACACAATGAAAGTGACAGAAAAATGTGATGTCTACAGCTATGGAGTAGTCCTATTGGAGTTACTAACAGGCAAGAAGCCAATCCAATCACTGGATCAAGGTGGTGGTGATCTTGTAACATGGGTGACAAATCATATCAACAAATATTCATTGAAACTAGACATCATAGATGCAAAATTGGACCTCCTAGATGAAATTGATGTTGCTCAAATATTTGATGTCTTGAAAATTTCTTTACTATGCATCGACACATGTCCGTCTAGACGACCAACCATGCGTAAAGTTGTTGCAATGCTTACAAGTTCTAGTAAAAGGAAAGAGCAATCTTTGCTCTCTCCATGTCATGAATCAACTAACTTTGAAGAATGATTTCTTTGTTTTGTTGTATATAAGTTCTTGAATAAAATTTATAATAAAAATGATTTTAGTGGTTGCTCTTAAATGTAAAGTTTATGTTCTTTGTTGGATTTTGGTTTATGTAGTTTAGTTTTTTATTTACCATATCATTTATTCTATATCCTAAAATGAGTTATCTATATGTAAGAAATAATACTTTAGGGTTTGACAAACATATACAGTTTTTAAGTTATTTGTTGGTGGGTGTTTCTGACTCATGCGATTTGAATTAAAGTGAAGTAATTTCTTTAATAAAATTGCTGTCAATTCTAAAATCTTAGAACTGACAATTTTTTTCTTTAATAAATTTTGGTTAAAATAACATTTGCATGAAGAATTAGAGCAACAAAGACGGAAAAAAAAATAGCAACAACATCCGCAAGAAAAAAACAAAAACTTCACACACACTTGGTATAACACCAAAACATATCAGAGACACGCGCAGCAGAAATAAGGTAGAAAAAAACCAGCCTCACAGAAAAGAACACAGAGAGAGAAATAAATTCTCACAAACCAAGATTCAAGATTATCTCAAAATTCTAAAGAACAATGTCAGGACATCTTGTCTAACATCATAGCAACAATCACAACAAGCACATTTAAAAAAACTTAAGCCCACAAAACACCATACTATCATACTCCCCCCTGAATGGCATGATCAATAAATCAGATCTTCACTCCCCCTCAAGAGAACAACCAGCCAGTAAACTCAAGAGAACTTCTTCAAAGAAAAATGCATAATAAAAATTTCTCCAAGACACATTAGAGGGAAATGAACTCTCACAACACAAACTTTCTATAGAGAAAAATAAATTTTACCAGACAGGATGTCAAGACATCAAGTATGACATCAAGCACATAATCATCTCTAGTCATGTCAGCATCAAAACATCATACTCCCCTTAAACACTAGATCAGGAGCAAAAACAACTACTCTGTATTAAAGTAGCAACAAATACTACAACTACCACAACCAACCAAACACCATTAAACACCATTACCTTCCCTTTTTAGTCATAAATTAGACAAAATAACCATACATTCACTAGGAGCAAAAGCAACCTCTGTAGCAGATAAAAAGGCAATAAAAAAATCAAGGCACATCAATTTCAACACTACTATCTATTGCCTCACCGCATTTCATCATAATTCCCTCATATACACCTCAACGTACATATTCACAATTCGCATCATTGTTCGTAAACATACACATTCATATTTCTTCACCACCATTCGTCATAAAGTATATATATATATATATATATATATATATATATATATATATATATATATATATATATATATATATATATATATATATATATATATATATATATATATATATATATATATATATATATATATATATATATATATATATATATATATATATATATATATATATATAACAAAGCATATTTATCATTTCATATATCCACAATTCACATTATTGTACATAACCATACACAATCATGTTTATTCACCAATTCATAACTCTCAATTCAACAATTCATGCACATATGCATATATTCACACGATATTTATCTCTATGCTATGTAACTCAATACAACTCAATGCAACTCAATGCAACTCATCAATTCCTATTCAAAATTATGGGTACATCACTTATACCCCACTAGGAACAACATCGTAGTCATTCTACCCCAGTGAACACCAACACTAGAAACAACATCATAGTCATTCTACCCCAGTGAACACCAACACTAGGAACAACATCATAATCATTCTACCCCAGTGCGTACGACTGTATCACGTATACTCCACTAGGAACAACATCTCAGTTATTCTATCTCAGGGAGCACCCCACCAGGAACAACATCTCAGTTATTCTACCCCGGTGATTATTCCACTAGGAACGAAATCTTAGTCATTCTACCCTAGTGTATATGACCATGTCACTATACTTCACCAGGAACAACATTTGTCATTCTACCCCGGTGATCATTTCACTAGGAACGATATCTTATCATTCTACCCCAGTGAGTACGAGTTTTGCACATACACATATTTCATCAAAGTATTCATGCTTTCATCATCACCACATTTATCAAGCAATGCACACATATTCACTAATATGTTCTCATGCATTCTTCACATACAATCGCATACAAACAATATGCATTCACAATATCGCGCCAACGACAACGAACTCAATCACATTCATCATGCACTTTTAATCAATTTAAACAATGCATATATTTGCGAAAAGGCCACATTTCACAATCGATTCCACAATCTAGGATTCATGTCATACGGATACCCACAGCATAACATATAACAGCACACAAGCTACACGTTATATATTGAAAGCATACAGTATGATAACACATCAAACGCACTCGTTCACAACGGTAAAAGTTGACAAAATAACACGTTTCGAAGATTCTTCTATAATTGGATCATATACTGACATCAAAACCATTTTTCCTAGAAAGAAAATCTCTTTACCTTTCCAACGCTTCGAACGGGGACTAAAACTGACTTACGGATCAAGAGATATGAATTTTCGAAGTTTTTCGAAAACTCAGAATTTTGCCTAAATACGGCTACGGGATTTTGCATTTTCGCCCGAAAATCCGACCGATTTAATTCTTTTCTCTCAATTAAATACCTACTCATCATTACCAATCATATAGTAACATTTTAGGATCATAAAACGCAAATTCTACGACTTCCGGTTTTCATCCAAAATTTTAACCCCCAATTGTCCAAAAATGTCAAAGCTCACAAACTCTACCAAATTCGATCAAACGAAGTCCAATAATCACGGATAAGCATTACCCGACTAAACTACGAAATTTATTCTCGATTTTAACCGTTAAAACTTCGATTCTACCGATTAAACTCATTTATGCCCTAGAATGGGAAAATGGTAGAAACTCTCCAACAATCTCAATCAAACCAACAAACACATACATAATCATAAACATTGATAGAATAACAACATTTCACACTCTTATCTTGATTAAATCGAAGCTAGAAGTTGTTCTTGAGCTTTCCAAGATTTTTCCTCTTTTTCTCCTCTTTTCTCCTCTTCCTCTTTCTTTCTCTTCTTTTTCTCTTATGTTTCTATTTTTTTTCCTTTCTTTCTCTTTCTCTTTCCCTTTTTCACTTATACTCTTTCTATTCTATTTCTCTCTAAACATCCACTAATCCATTTCTCATAAAATATCTCAACTTAACATTAAATACTTAATGTCTAAAATACCCTCTAATATATTTTCCCCGAAACTCTCAAAATCATAGCTTAATATGCAAACATAACATATTAACACATAAATTCCACAATTAAAATATTAATCACCCAAATCAATTAATTAATATAAATAATTAATTATAAAAAATTGGGTTGTTACAGATTGCACTCAGATTATCATAGTAAAATGTCATGACATTCTGTTTTACATTGTATTTCTTTAGCATTTGCTTCACCCAAATCAATTGAGAACAATTGCTTCATGTAGCAATATACTCAGTTTCAACAGGAGACAAGGACACACAGTTTTGCTTCTCGCTGAACTAAGAGATAAGATTGTTTTCCAGGAAGATACATCCTCCAGAAGTGCTAGTTCTATCATCAGCACTACTTGCCCAATCTGCGTCACAATACCCTACAAGCATTGAATTAGTACTATGAGAATACAAAATGTCATAATCACTAGTACCATTGATGTATTTCAAGATCCTCTTCACTTGAGTGATGTGACTCATTTTAGCCTCAGTTTGATATCTCGCACAAACTCTTACAGCAAAAGTGATGTCAGGTCTACTAGTTGTAAGATACATCAAACTATCAATCATACTCGTGTATAAATTTTTATCCATATCAACACCTTTCTTCTTAGCATAAGGCATGATGTCTTGAACATCTTATTCAACATCATACTCAGAGTCACTTGAGGGTCCTTCCTTTCTTTTCAATGACTTTTTCTTGATAACAGAGGCCACAACTTTACTTCATCCTTTGTCAGGTCCAACCTCAGTACTTTTCTCAGATGCCTTAGAAGGCTTGATTGTAGACACACCAACCTTCCCTTTTCTGTTCCTCAATCTTTTAGCAATACCAAGAGCCAATTTCTTTCCTATAAGCTCATCATCAGAATCTAGACTATATACATTGACAAGGTCAGTGACTAATCCTTCTTCACATTAGCAGACATACTATTATCATTAGAATAATCTCTTTTACCACCAACAAAATCATCTTCAGCCACATTCTTTTGAGATTTTTCAATAGTTTCACTATGAGTGTTTTCTTGTGTGGTTTTAACTGGATGATCAGGTTGGGCCAAGGATGTTGTGAGATACAACATCGTACTCCGAGTCAGAAACCAAGATCTTAGAGAGAGAAATATGAACACCTGTATAAACAGTTTTATTAACAACATTCAAACTAGATTGACTTAGGGTTTCTTCCGCTTTAGGGTTATCTAGACTCATAGTTTCAAAGGTAACGACATTTGAAACAACAACCTTCAAACCAAAATTATCAACAACACCCACAAAGGCATACCTCTTTCCACCCAGGCTTTTAACCTACATTGGCCCTATTAAGTCCATATGGCAAAGTTCTAGAACTCTGGACGTAATCTGATGTTTCGACATTGGGTGTGACATCTTGGTTTTTTTCCCAATTTGACACTCACCATAGATTTTTCCTTCCTCTATTATGAGCTTAAGAATACCTCCAAAGGCCTCTTCAAACGCAATTGTTTTATACCTTTGAGATTCAGTTATCCAAGCTTTTAAAATCATACCTTGACTTTATCTTTCTTGAGAACTAAGCAAGTGGAAGAGCATGTAGTTTCTTGAGGAACCCACAAATAACAATTGTCTTTAGTCCTAACTCCCTTCATCAAAACATCGTTATTCTAATTTGTAACCAAACATTCAGACTTAGTGAAATTCACATTTAGACCTTGATCACATAACTGACTGATACTGATCAGATT